TAATTCCACTCCTATGGAGAAGTACAAAACATAAATGAATTTGAAGTAAGGGAAAGTGATATAAGTGAATTTTAAGTAAGGGAAAGTGATATAAATGAATTTTAGTTGGGTGGGTGAGACGAAGACACCAAATTTTACGATTCATTATCCCAAAACCAAACATTTAGGTGTGGACTGTGGAATAATGACCAAAATAAATAGGGACCTTTTTGAGTTTCTGAATTTTAGATATTTCAAAGTAGGCGGTGGACGTTTTATTAAGGGATTTAGGGACTCTTTTACGGCATGAATTAGGCGGTATAACACAAAATTAGGCATTTAGGCTATCAAAGTATTTATAATTTCGGACGAAAATAACTTTTGGAATCATGAGTTTAGTAGAATTTATATATTTTTTTAGGGTTTATAAATCGTAGGATTGATCGTTTATGTTAAGACTAGACAATAAAGTGAAAGCCAAGATAACTTTATAATTTTTGGGTCCAAGTTCACTGACTGATAATTTGGTCGAACAATTATATTCAACCAACAATCCATTGCAACATTACTAATGAATAATAGTATATGACAAAGACGATTAGTAGTATTGATGTGACATTTTCCTATTTGAAGAAAAAGAGCTGGGAAGTTAAATTGCAGGAATTATCAATTATGTGATTTCATTTTTTTTTTTTGAACATCTGTTTCATTAACTTGAAAATCGTTTTACAATCTCAAAAGAGAAAATGTTGAATACATAAAAGGAGGTGAATTATGAATACAACAAGACAAAAATTGAGATTTCCCTATATGCGCAAGTTTATCCGTTATGATGTTTGTCTTTCTCCCGATGTGGACCAATTGAACACCTGCAAATCGATTGATCCAAAATTGGATATCTGAATCAAATCCTCCATAGCTATGTGATTTCATTTTAGAATCTGAAGCTAATGAACCAATATTGTTATTGATGTTTTTGGGAAAGTATTCTTCTACCTTAAATGCATATTCAAACTGTGGAATATGACTGACGAATCTTGAATATATACAACTTGATCGATTGATTTTAGATGATCTGATCCATTGAGGTCATCTATGAAATCTTTAACAAGGTTTCTTTCCCACGTCTATTGTCATTGTGATTAGGAAACTCACTCATTTCCACGCATGCTTAAACCTTTCTCTACTTTCACATCTTTATTGCACCGATTGAGATCTCATATGTTTTAGTGTCAGCCTTCAACATGATTCATCAGATCATGTATACTGTTTTCGAGAAGTATGGTGAACAATGTAAAATACATGTAACAAACAAAAAAACAAAAATACGTTTTAAAGCTTTTTTTTTTTTTTTTGAACCTGTTTTAAAGCTTGTTTGTAATACGAATTATGTAGCTTTACAAAACTTGCTGAAGAAGTTGAAAATGGGGTTATGAAACTACAAATTCTATAGAGTGAAGATATCCTTTCTATGCAGACGACTTTTTCTTTTGTTCGATGAGTTTTTCACGAGAGAACGGATACGTCGAGCTTCTAATAGTCATGGGAGTATTTGTGATCCAAGAATCATCATTACTCCGTTTCTCTGTATAGAATCACCATCACAACATTAAAATACTCACTTAAGTTCCTAGAAACTAAAATTTCCAAAGTAGAAAATTTGATTGA